ACGCCGCGAACCATCGCCATAGGGTTCGAGATGCGCAGCATGCCCCGGAGCATAAAGTAGGGCATCATGCCGTGCATGCGTTTGAGTTGCGAGAAAATTTCAGAGGAGTTGTCACTGCCCATGAAGATCTGGAAGATGGTCGAGGCAAGGCTGATCCTCGCCCATTTCATCAATGCTCGGTACTTTTCTGGCAGGTCCTCGATGCGGGGCGTTGCCTTGATGGTGGCAAAGATGCGAGTGAGGCCGTCAGCCTGGATCAGGTCGTCCTTGAATTCCTTCAGGTGGTGTTGCAGCTCCTGGGCGCGCTTGGCCGCCTCGTCTGAGAACCGGCGATGCTCCTCCTCGCGAACGTGGTCAAGGCCTTCGCGGATCGCCGCGTCCTCCTCCTCGGATCGGCTGAGCGTTGTTGGCTCAGCCGTAAGGAAGTCCATAAAAATGGCACTATCAGCCACCGACGGGCTCGCCAGCAGCGATCGTAGATAGGCCCGCAACGTCAGACGATTCTTCTCACGAGCCAACGGGCCCGTTGGTACTGGAAATCGCAAGGACGCCGACTCAGTACTTGCGCGTGGACTCGGCTCTGAAGGAACGCCGGCCGAGCCCGAAGGTGGATCAGTGTCTGAGGCAGCCACTGGTGTATCGGCATCAGAGCGGCGATACGGATCGGCGACGTCAGTATTGCTGCGGTCTTTAGGCGGCGGCGGTCGAATGCCCTCATCCGGAAACTCGATCCGAAGCGTATTTGCGAGCCGCACAAAGTCTCCGTAGCGCCGAGAAACATAGAGGTCGGGCTGTCCGAATCCACGCCGAGTGCGAATGAGGAACTCTTCGTGCGTGCGGTTGCGCAAGCGTCCCTTGGTGACCACATTGCGCACCGACACGACATTGATGTCGAAGCTGATGTTGTTGGCAGCGGAGGACGAGGAGTGTGATGAGGACGGGCGGGAGCCTTCCTCGGACGCCCTTCCGGGCGCAGCTGCCCTGCCCAGTGCGGCCTTACGGCGCGCCTCGACGGCCGACATCTTAAGTCGGTCGTGATCCGAAATGCGTACCACATCCTCCCCAATGCGATCGACTTTGATCGCGGAGCCCATCAGTAGGATGAGATACTTTTCGAGCTTGTTGGTAAGCTTTCGTCGCTTGGTCGCCTCCTCGCGGTCGTCGGTTCCGCTGATGTTCTTTTCGAGAAATCGCTCAAAAAAGACTTGGACCTTGTCGGCAAAAAAGTTTGGCGGCGCCGATCGCAGGAAGGGAAAGGTGAGAACAAAGTGCTGAAACATGAAGCGTAGTACAGGAAGGTCGGTTCGACGCGCTTCCGGAGAGGGACGGAAGGGGGGACCGAACGTGGAGAGTGCATCTTTGGTGCTGAGCTGGGCAACCTCGCGCTCGAGCTGAAGGCGTATGAGCGTCTTCTTAAGATAGTGGGCTCGGAGCGGCGTCAGCGCAGACGGGTCCTTTGGATCCTCCAGCTTGGGTATGGAGGCCCTCGCAGCTTTGCTCGAGACCGAGGTGGACGAATCGCCGGCCTGCACCGGGGCCAGCGATGTGCCCGCCGACGCGAATGCCGGATCGTAGACCGCCAGGCTCATAGCTGCCGATTCCTGCAATTGGTGCTCGTAGTCTCGCCTCGTGGCTACTTTAACTGCAAAAGAGGCAAAGAGGCGGGTGTTTTGGTCACGATTCTCCTGCCCACAGATGCTCTTGCGGCGCTATCAATGTCGCTGTCGGTTCTTTGATGCGTTCCCTTGCTACAGGAACAGTTCTGTGCCTCCGAAATAGTGATGGCTTGCAACGAAGACGCGACGACTGAACTCGGGGAGACGTGATTGATCGTTGGAGGGAAGCTGACCTTCAAGGCACAAGACAAGAGCGTGCTGGTCGAGGTTTGTCGGGTGATGCGATGGGTCTGCCTTACAGTCAATACATTAATATATAAGATTACCTGTATAATGAATGTCGGGGTACAGTATGCGGTCATGGAGTTGTGCAAGGATCTGGAACTGGAAGTGTGCCTGACCCTCGTCTCGCTTGCATCCACTGGCAGGCCCTGAGGCGCCGTGCCGAGCCCTCTGCGTTTTGCGTGTGGAGGGGCCAACCACCAAAAAAAAAAGAAAGAAAAAATAAAACAAAAAGAAAATAAAAAGAGTTGGGCGCCGGTTGATATTATTAGGCACTGCCCCACGCCGGTGGTCGGCGCTTGGCGTCGTGACCTTTTGATCATTTGTCGCGAGGCGCACAGATTCCTGCCACACTCCGAGCACATTTCCTCTACTACGGACTGTGTTTTCGTATTACAAATAGCGGAATCCGCACACCTAACAGCTGGTCGAGTAAATATTTCTTCCGTTTGTGGTGAGGTTGTGGTTGCTGGAATACCTTCCAATTCATGTGCAGGCTGCGAAAGCAAAATGGCCAGTCCAGGGTTGATACCTGGTCGAACTGCCCAAGACACGTTGCGGACCCTTGGGTGTGTCGTTTCTGCCGGCATCGACGACTCTGCAGAGAGTGGGGCGTTTAATATTGCGTCACGTTGCAACGGCGCAATGGGATAAGCTCTGGGTCTAACATATTGAATTTTCGACTCCCAGCCTTCAACTCTGCACGATGATGAGCACACCGTGACGGCCACCCGGCTCATCGCTACGACTGTACAGGGTACTGACAGCCAAATTTCCTGAAACCTAATTTCATTGCAGCACTAACTGCACAACTCAGGACAGTCAGACAGAAGCGTCAATGGCGCCAGGAAGAAAAGGCGGAGGGATCCGTGGAGTGGTTTCGTCGTTGATGCAACTGACCTTGGTCCGGAGAGTCGCACAGGCGAGAACAAGAAAGGGCCACACACTGGCGCAAGTAAAGAGAAGGCGCTGCAACTTCTGTCTTCCTTTGTCGATTTTATTCGTTTTTTGATTTCTTCTCGATCGGCCCTAGCACAGCACGTCCTCAGACAAGCCAGACAGAAAGCCACAGTACACAGTCGCCCGGCTGCGGTCTTGGTGCTTACAAGTCGCTCGTCATTTCCATCTCGTCTCACCTCCACCACCAGCACCCGGCACCGCTTCCACAGATCCACTCCGACCAACACCTTTCAATAGCCTCCGCCTTACCACGTCACACATCAGCGGATCAGTATCGCTGCGCCGTCTGTCTCTTTTCAGCTCGTTTCGATCCGGCTGAGCCTTTCATTTTATACACTAGGCACCCACAGATTCGACTCGACATCTTGTTCGTCACAATGAAGACCTCGCAGATCGTTCTCACTTCGCTCTCGGTGCTCGGCGTCGCTGGCATCGGCTACGCCATCTACTTTGACCACAAGCGCCAGACCGACCCCGCCTTCCGAAAAAGCCTTAAGAAGGACAACAAGAAGACCGTCAAGGCGTCGAAGCGTGAGGCGGCCAAGCGCGCCAAAGAGGAGGACAAGTTTATCGAGGAGCTACTCGCCGAGGTGCGATCGCCCGGCACTTTCCCCGCGGGCGTTGAGGAGCGTGAGCAGTACTTCCTCAAGTATGTGTCTCTCGGTGAGCAGCTGTTTGCCATGGGCGCCGACAAGTACCTGGAGGCCTCGGCCGCCTTCTTCAAGGCACTCAAGGTCTACCCGCAGCCCGTCGAACTGATCATGATCTACCAGAAGGCCGTGCCCAAGGAGGTGTTTGACACCATCATGCGCATCGTCAGCAAGGACATTGCTACCGGAGGAGGTGCAGAGGGCGAGGGAGCTGCAGGCAACCTTGACGAGGTCGACGAGCAGGCTCCATCTGCCTCGCTTCTCGAGGCAAAGGCCGCAGAAAACGATGAAGAAAACGACGAGGAAGACGATGAGGATGAGGCCGAGTCGTCAGCAGCAGCTGACACCAGCGCGAGCAAGACAGACGATGCCTCGGCAGTCACTCAACAACGCGGCGGCACGGACAGCGGCACAACATCGAGCCAGGAGTGGGACACGCTCTCGGCCACCAGCCTCAACGACACCGGCGTTATCGTGACGCCAAACCAGGCCAGCTCCAACGCCGGTGATGCTGCTCCTACCTCTGCGGCTGCCTTCGAGTCGGTCGAGTCGTCTGCCACGCCCTCGGCCGCCAGTGGTGCTTCGTCCACCCCCGAGCCCGAGGTCAAGCTCGCCAACATCGACACGAGCGCTGCCGCAGCTGTCACTCACAGCGACAAGCCAACAACGCCATCCAAGCTCAACTACGCCTCGAACTGGAGTCCTGCCCCCGTCTTTGGTGGTGCCGCCAGCCCGAGCAAAGAGAAGGCTGACGCCGACAAGCCCTCGGAGTAGGGTATTTGACCTTGAATTATGTGCGTCATTCAGCTCTATTTATGCTTGAAGGCTCAAAAAAGAGAGAATTGCTCGCATTCAGTCGAGCCAGACGAGCTTCGACTTCAGAGCACCGTCAACGACATCTGGCACATCGCAGGCCGTTAGTGCAGGCCATCCTCGTACTGCTAAGACTTGCGAAGCAGTCCTTGACGCACTCTCGCTTCCATCATGACTTTCCACGTACTGTAGTCTAGCTTCTATCTGCCCCGTCGCAGAATCATTGACTTATTTGCATCACTACTCAGCAAATCGGCACCTGCACGTGCATCGCGCCTTCATTTTATGCGTGGTTGGGGACACAAGTGCCGTGCGATTCGAAAGGATCTCGCTCATCGTAAAGGCAATCTAGGAATCCCGCCAATGAGCTTCTCCGTCGATGGGACGGCAGCCGAATTCCATCAGCAAGGCGGTGGTACAAGGTGACTGCGGGAAACGGTACAGTCGCCCGAGATTTTGGTGAGCGACACCACGCCTTCTCCCGATCGGTAGAACATCGAGCCTCTCTACCTGACAACAGTGTAGCATTGTCTCCATCTGACGCCAATCGAAAAAGGTGGTGTCGATGTCCAAATTTCGGGCGACTACATCATCTCCCGCAACAAGTACCGACGAAAAGAATGGATTGAAAATGGGAGGATATGTATACAGTATGCTTCTCTCGCGCGAAAAGGCTGCTGCCCCTTTGGCCAAGTTGGATTAAGGCATGTGGCTTATGTTTCTCAGGCATCAAAAAATCGCACCTCGAGATCATGAGGTTTTATTTCGAAAACCGCGAGATCGTGGGTTCGAGTCCCACAAGGGGCATGTTTTTTTGCGCTGCTGCCCTTTACCAACGATTTTTTGTATCTTTTAGGCCCACAGGGGTCTGTATCGCCTTTTTCTGCATCATCTGACGAGATTTTGTTGAAGACCGATGAAGATTTGACGGTTTTACGCCAAAGGTTGTTCGAGAGACATCGTAAAATTGGACCGCTCCTCCAGCTTTCCAAACGGCGTTATGGTGCACGAGAGTCTCTATGCGCGTCCCGGGTGCGACCACTGTCTTCACAGCGCCCTCTCTCACCTTTCGGCACCTGCTGACCTTCTCTCACAAGGACTGTGACCAGACGACGGGTCGATCTCAATCCCTGCCTGTATTTCACAGCCCATTGAGCTCACTTCCTCTTTTGGGGGGGTTTTTTTTTTTTTTTTTCAAATTAAACAAATAAATATATATTCCTCTAAATGTTTTAGATATTTCTCTTATTTTTCTAGAATGAGTTGATGGACACGTCGTTGCCGAGAGAAAGGTCTAAGCGTCCGTACAATTCGTCTGACTGGTGTTAGACTCTTACGAGCAGGCAGTAGGGTAGAGTTGGCGGCAAGAGAAAAAAAATTTGGTCAGCGAAGGTTGGAGAACAAACTCGGTGCATCTGCCCCTGCCCAAGACTCGAGCGAGTTCACACGACAAGACCCGATTCGATGCTGCACTGAGCCCGGTTTTTCGACCGGTCCAACGGCCTTCGAGATGTCTTTTCCGGCACCGTGACGTTTGCAAGATTGACTTCTTTACGTCAAACTGAGCAGTCTGAATAACTGAGCACAAAGCCAAAAAGGCTACAGAGACATGACCAAGCCGGCGCGCTTCCCCCAGACTCGCTGATGGCACGAGGAGATGCAATGGAAGCCGTCAAAGCCTTTGCGACAAAGCTGTTCAGGACGTCGGATGTCGGGTGTAGCGCGCGGCAGTCCATGCGGGACTTTATGCCTGTGTCTGCTGAGCAGGAGAGTGAAGCTGAGTCAAACGAGGCGAGACCAGAAAGAAAAGAAGAAACGAAAAGTGGGCGAAAATCCGACTTGTGCGGCTGTCTCTCTCTCTCGCGGGCCTTGCGGCCACAGGTGGTGATGCCACAGCTCTCCGGCGCTTGCCTGCCCGCCTGACTGGGATTGGAAGAAATCTGATCGCAAGCCAACGGCAGTTGCTCGACCTGAATTCGTATGTACGTTCTACAGCTGGCCACAGCGGGGACGCCCGCCCGCAACCTCTTTGCTCCACTCTGTTCCGCACTGTTCTCGGCTCTTCCCTCTTTGCCTCGCCAGTCGCCGCCGACCGCATCTTCTTACGCTCACCCAATCACCCTTGCTTGTGCTTGCCACGCATCGTCCCGAACTCAAATCCATAGAGTCATTTGTCTCCTTGCATTCGCCTCCCGTACATCTGTTTGCAATCCATTCTCTTCCTCCACCTGCCACCATCATCATCACCCCCTGCCTCTTTTCGAAACCCATCATATCACACACAGCCATGTTCTCTCGTGGACTTCGCGCTGCCGCCCCGGCGACGCGGCTGTTGAACCAGCCCCTCCGATCCGCCCCCGGTGTTGCCGTAAGTACTCATTCCCAACGCTCGACTTCCGATCTTTTCGCATGTTTTGAGGCGACGGTGGCACACAATGATGGCCGTACCTCCTGCATTTTCGGTCCAGCGGAGCTAACTTGGACAGATAGCGGCAGTATTACGGCGCAGTTGCATTAGCTGGATCGGACATCTCGAGAGTTGAAAACGGACAATGTGGATGCACGAATAAGGAGCTGACCAACATGATTTCATCTCTGCTTTTGCTTTTTCCGGCAAACAGCGCTTGGCACCCATGGGCGCTCGTCTCAACTCTGGCAAGGTCTCTGGCCCTGTCATTGGTATTGACCTTGGAAGTGAGTAAAAACCATCCACACTTTGTAACGGAGTGTTATGCAAAGAGTTTCTGTCCAAGTGCCGCTTTCTCGGCTCCACAATCAGCATGCTGACCCTGTTCTCCTTCTTTTGGCATTTCCGCCTTTGTTTTTGATGCACTTGTTCAGCTACCAACTCGTGTGTCTCGGTCATGGAGGGCCAGCAGGCCCGTGTTATTGAGAACTCAGAAGGTGGCCGAACCACCCCCTCGGTCGTTGCTTTCACCAAGGACGGCGAGCGACTCGTTGGTCTGCCCGCAAAGCGACAGGCTGTCGTCAACCCCGAGGCCACCCTCTTTGCCACCAAGCGTCTGATCGGACGAAAGTTCCAGGACAAGGAAGTGCAGAAGGACCTCAACAACGTTCCCTTCAAGATTGTTCCCCACACCAACGGCGACGCATGGCTCGAGGCTCGTGGCCAGAAGTACTCGCCCTCGCAGATCGGTGCCTTTGTTGTCGGCAAGATGAAGGAGACTGCCGCAGGCTACCTCGGCAAGCCCGTCAAGCATGCCGTCATCACTGTTCCCGCCTACTTCAACGACTCGCAGCGTCAGGCTACCAAAGACGCCGGTGCCATTGCTGGTCTGGACGTTCTGCGTGTCATCAACGAGCCCACCGCGGCCGCTCTTGCCTACGGTCTTGACCGCAACGACTCGTCGGTGATTGCCGTCTTCGACTTGGGAGGAGGTACTTTCGATATCTCGATTCTCGAGATGCAGAAGGGTGTGTTCGAGGTCAAGTCGACCAACGGCGACACCCACCTTGGTGGTGAGGACTTCGACATTGTCCTTGTCGAGCACCTCGTCAACGAGTTCAAGAAGGAGTCTGGCCTCGACCTCAGCAAGGACCGTATGGCCATCCAGCGTATCCGTGAGGCTGCCGAGAAGGCCAAGATTGAGCTTTCGAGCACCCAGCAGACCGACATCAGCCTGCCCTACATCACTGCCGACGCCTCGGGTCCCAAGCACATCAACAGCAAGATGACCCGTGCTCAGTTCGAGGGTCTCGTTGGCAAGCTTGTTGACCGAACCGTCGAGCCATGCAAGAAGGCGCTGGCCGATGCCGGTGTCAAGCCCTCCGACATCCAGGAAGTCATCATGGTCGGTGGTATGAGCCGAATGCCCAAGGTCCTCGAGACCGTCAAGAACATCTTCAAGCGTGACCCTTCGAAGGGCGTCAACCCCGACGAGGCCGTCGCCATTGGTGCTTCGATCCAGGGCGGTGTCCTCTCCGGTCAGGTTACCGACATTCTGCTCCTCGACGTTACGCCGCTGTCGCTCGGTATCCAGACCCTCGGCGGTGTCTTCACCCGACTCATCAACCGCAACACCACCATCCCCACCAAGAAGAGCCAGGTCTTCTCGACGGCTGCCGACGGCCAGACTGCCGTCGACATCCAGGTCTACCAGGGTGAGCGTGAGCTCGTCCGAGACAACAAGCTGCTCGGCAACTTCCAGCTCACCGGTATCCCGCCTGCGCCCAAGGGTGTTCCTCAGGTTGAGGTCACCTTCGACATTGACGCCGACGGTATCATGCACGTCTCTGCGCTCGACAAGGCCACCAACAAGGATCAGTCTATGACCATCTCGGCCGGTTCGGGTCTCTCGGACTCGGAGATCGAGAAGATGGTGTCTGACGCCGAGCAGTTTGCCGAGGCCGACAAGGCCCGCAAGGCTGTCATTGAGGAGGCCAACCGCGCCCACTCGGTCTGCTCCGAGACCACCAAGGCTATGCAGGAGTTCTCGGACCAGCTCCCCACCGAGGAGAAGGAGAAGCTCAACGTCCTCATCAAGGAGACCGAGGAGCTCGCTGCTAAGGGTCTCAATGGCGATTCGGGCGTCGAGGCCCAGACCATCCGTGAGAAGATTGACGCCACCCAGCAGGCCTCGCTCCAGCTCTTCAAGCTGGTCTACGAGAAGAAGGGCCAGCAGAGCGGTGCTGCCGACAGCAACGCTGGCGAGTCCAAGCCCGAGGGTGAGGGCGAGAAGAAGCAGTAAATGTACCCATACTTCTTCCACGTGCATTCTCCTGCCACCCAAAAATACAATCTCTGGATTCCCCATTTCGCCTCACGTGCATGATCAAGCCCAATGTCGACGACTTTCTCTCTGTCAACATCTGTAACAACATCTCCTATTTTCTGTCTCTATCTTTACAAAAGTAGTAGAGGGATTCCCGGGTTGGAGTGGCTCCTCAGAACATTCCCTCCGGGTTTCCTCTTTCTTCTCTGACTCGCTCGTCTTATGCTCTCGCACAATATCCCTATATTAGCAATTCCACCACCGCTTCCTTTTTGCTCAGATCAACATTGTCATCTGTTTCTTGCCACGGTGCGTGTATGCTGCCTCTACGGACAAGTATTTGAGTTTCTGATGCGTGCAACCAGTCAGATCACTTGAGCATCGAGCATCTCGACTATTCAACAACCGAACTTTGGACATTGCACGAGCGCAACAGATTGCCCAAGGAAAAAAATGAGAGGTATGGTAGAATTACTTGGTGGTACATACAGGCACGAAAGCACGGACTGGGCGGACAGCACGGAGGCAGCGGTGGAAGGAAGCTCGAAACAGGCGGAACGGACCCACCCACCCGGCGTGATGCAGAAACAAGGGGAGCATGAGTGAGCTATCCCAAGCTCGATTGTGCATGCAGAGGAATCCGGAGAACAAACACGACGAGACAACAATGCAAGAGAGACGACATAGCACAAGAGCTGACATGAAGGCAATGAAGGAGGCGGCGCAGTGAAAAAGGGAGACAGATGCTGAGATGAGTTTCGCCGAATGAAAAAGAGTCCATCAGGACGGAGGTATCTAGACCGAGAAGAGATGTAAGGACGGACGGCAAGCGGGATACTGGGCGCTTGAAGAAGCGCCAGCTCGTATTGGTCGGCCTCGGTCCATTGGAACGGCAGGGTCACTATGCCAGCGAATAGCGATAATTCTTAGCAAGGCGTACTATGCCGTGGTCGCAGACGCTCGTGAATCGGCTGGCTCATCCTCGTCCTCCTCAGGAATAGGCTCAGGCATCTCGCCATCGTCCATCCAGCTAGCCTCGACGGTTGCCTTGACCCTGCGCACGTATTCCTTCAT